TCCTCATCGACAGCCGTAGCCGTGACTAACCCGAAGTCTCCGATTTTAATATTGCCATCCATTGAAAAGAATATGTTTGACGGCTAGAGATGTGAATATCACGTATTATTTTAACAATAATTACAACGTTTTAAATAAAGTGCATTACTTTGAGGTCGCGATGCATTAAACCCATTGAGTGGACGTAATGGACAGCACTGACGATCTGATCAAATATATCCAACACTGTATTCGAGTCCCGATTAAGTGAATTATTTAGGAGCCAATCCTTAAGCGTGTCTTTTCTGCATAATTGCATTTGAATGTAGAGATAACAGCGCGGAAGCACTGGGTTTAGATTCAACGGCCGTCTATTGTTTTCAATTAAGTCATTGCTTTTGGCATTCAGTTTGCTTTCGTCGGAACTTTCACTTGATTTCGAATCAAACACATTATTATCCGAAGACATTCCTATACTTTCATTGCTATTCTTATCGATTACTTTAACAGAAGAAACATTTTCATCGAAAACTATATCTAAACTCTGATTGCTTTGAGTTTTCGTTATGATTTGTTTTGATTTATTGAATCCAAAACTCGTTTCAGTACTCATTTCATGGCTCTCACGGTAATAGAAAGATGTCTTGAGATCAGTAGCTGTAGTCTTATTGACAACTAATTGTTTGTATCGGACATCAGATTCATTGAAATGTGTGGACGCAATGTCTTCGGTGGTGAACAGCGGTTGGTCTTTGTCTTCCTGCCAACCGGGAGGCGGCAGTTCTACCCAAGCGTTATAATACCTAACAATCCCCGAGTGATCCAATTTAGAGAGAGCTCTCACTTCTCGCATCACTTTCTCCCTCTGCTCTTTGCGGACGGGAAGGTATATCCGCTTCACTGCGTAATGGCTTTCATCGATTATATGCTTGGCTTCAAACACCAGTCCAAAGCCACCCCTTCCCAGCACTTGGATTGGCTCGAAATCGGACTCGTATCGAGAATTGAAGGCCTGATGTTCTGCACTATTGTATGCATTAAATGGTGTGGAAAAGGATGGGGTCGATGGCGATGGGGTTTTGGCTGTGCTTTCAGAGATGTGTTCACTTTTAGTGCAAATCTCTTCACTTTCGGATATTTTGCGAATTGTTTTCAATTTTCGTTTTAATAGTGAATAACAAAAATTAAGAAGAAATGCGGAAACAATGGAAATAGCGGTCACTTCTCTCCAATAATACCAAAGAGATCTGATTATAATTTGCGGCATTAAATCATTGTCTTCATCGCAATATTCTGATTCATTCAATAACTCTTCACTTGAATTTATTAGACATTTGGTCTCATTCTCTTCGATGGCGTCAAACAAATAGTAACCCATTTTAGAGTCATTTTCTGACGAAATAGCGAACGAAAAGTGAGGACTCGACACAAAATCGAGTTCTGATTCCGAGTCCAA